ATTAATTTAAAGCACTTAATCTGTATAAAATCTGAGAGATGACGCTAGTTGAACACATTTTTAAGTTGCAATTAACAATCTTGTTTCCTAAGGAGTATTTGGTTATCTCATTTTCTTTTTCCTTATTTCATAGCACTTAACAAGACTCTGGCATGAAGACAATACAGTAAAATTACCATGCAGTTATTAATACAGACGAATATTGTAGCTCACCATAATTTTCTAAAACAATTTTTGTATTACATGATTATGTATAACTCCCACATAAAACTAATTCTTCAGCCAGAAGTAATCTCAGTGATAAACAATGTAGGCTGGGTTTTTAAGAGGAAATCCCAGAGGAAAAATAAAACCCTTCTGAAAATATGTTGTTTTCAAGTACAGTTAAATCACTTCTGCTTCCAAGGATGTCCAGATTCTAAGTTGCTCTTTTATACAGAACAATTTAATTCTGCTATAACAGCTAATGCAATCCAGTTTCAAGGAAGTGAATCCTTTTAAATTGGTTTCTAAAGTGTTTACATATTAACATTAAACAACAGAGTAATTTTTGCAAAAATGGAAGGACAAGGTATTCTGTAAGAGAGAGGTTTGTCAGCTCAGGAAAGTGTTAACACCTAAAAAAAAAGAAAGCTAGTGCTAATTTCCATACTACAGGTTTTTTTCTTTTCTTTATGAAATCCTTTGGAAGCCTAGCTCTCTTTAAGAGCAAATACTATGATCTTGCTGTGCATGCTTTGAAATTTATTTGGAAGGAATGCATCAACAATTTGCAAAAGTGCAGCCCTTTTCTAAAACAGATGTATTTTCAGATTTCCATGCCTGTAGAAAAATGAAGCTGCTTTGTGTCAAATGCTTAAGGTGTTAATGTGACACTTAAAGTAACCACTATTGCTTTTAAGACTCTTGCCTTGATATTAAAATCAGATAGGAAAATAAGTGTCTCCATAGCCAGCCACATCTGAGCAGCAAACCTGGCTGACCACTAGTGTGTAGCAAAGAATTTTTTTTGTACCCCAGGTAATGTGGCAAACTAATTTCTCACATTTTTTAAAGTTTGAAAATTATTACAGTATATTTAAAACTGTATTTTTTTGGAGACAGTATGTCTCCAAAAAACTAGAAGAGATTAACTGATTTCTTCCATTTATTTTCCTGTGGCAGAGATTACACTAGTAAAAGCTAACTAAGGTCACAATTGAGCATCCTACCAGTATTCTTAGCTAGTCTACAGGTAGTCCTCAACTTATAACCACAATTGGGACAAGAATTTCCGTTGTGAAGCAAGATGGTTGTTAAGTGAGTTGTGCAATTTTTTTGACTTTTGCCATGGTTGTTAATCAAATCACTACAGTTGTTAAGTGAATCAAACAAGTGACTCTGGTTTCCTCCTTTGACTTTGCTTGCTGGAAGATAACTGGGAAGATCACAAATGGCAATCATGACCCTGGGATGCTGCAATAATTATAAATACATGTTGGTTATCAAGTGCTTGAATTCTGATTATATAATCATGGGGAAGCTATGACAATTTTAAGTATGAGGACCATTTGTAAGTCACTTTTTCAGTGTCATTGTAATTTTGAACTAAGACTAAACAAATGCTTGTAAGTCAAGGACTACGTATTCTATTTCTCAAAAGCTGTTTCATTTCAAGTGAGTATTCATTATTGAATATAAACTTTATATCTTGTGTTTCATTTTACAAATATATAGTGCAATAATTAAAAGTATTAATACATTATCATAAGTAACATAAATTCTGATATGGGTAGAACAAGAATAAAGAAAATACAGAGAAACAAGCTGTGGTTAGACGTGGCTTGCAAAATAATTTTTCTCTGGCCCGCCTCACCATTTGGTAGCTGTGCTTTGTAGCAGTTTTTATATTTGAATCTCAGCAAAAATGACTTGTTTATTTTTTGTTTTTGTTATTGTTCTTTTCAGTTGTGTCTGATTCTCAGAGACTTCCTGGACAAGTTGTTTTCTTAGCAAGTTCTTGTGAAAAAGTCCCTCCCCTCCCCCAAAGCAGTTTACATTTCTCCTTTCTAGGGCTGAGAGAAAGAGACCAGTCCAAAGTCACCCAGCTGACTTTATGCCTAAAGCAGGATTAGAATTCCCACTGTCCCTGTTTCTAGTCTGATACCTTAATCACTACACCATGACTTGATTATTCGCCTGCCCAATTTCCCATTCGGCATACATTGAGCCTGGTTAGGAAATAGATTTCATGTTACGTTTTTTGCCCACAAGGAGAAAACAATTTTTGCAGGAAGGGGGGAAAATCATGCATTTTCATTCTTGATTTAAAGTTGGAAATATAGATATAAATATTCTTACATCATCCCAAATACATGTAGAGCAGTATCACTGAAAATCTGTTTTTGAAAAAGTGATTTGCAAAACAATTATTATTAGACCTTTGTTAGAAATACATCTGCTTTGTTCACTATTCTGTACAAACAGATGTTAACAATACAGATATTTGTAACAAAAGAAAAGTATTTGACAATCTGCTGATGATAATTCTGTCAACAGAATTACAATAAGTAAGGTTTTAAGATTTTTGAACAATCCAATGTTAACATTTTTATTGTCTCAGTATATCCTTCCTGACTTACACCTGCAAGGATACAAGGAGTGTAAACATTTTGTCAAAAAGAAAAAGTATTAAGTACATCTTCTGTTGAGTTTTATGACAAGTTTGTGGTGAATAGGTAGAGATTAAAGGCATATCTGTGACAACATTGCAAAACTATTTTTGCAATGATCACACTGTTTTATCCATCAACAATTAACTACAACAGTGTCCTGTTCTAATATACCAATGAGCTTAATTAAGCCACAAACAGTACAGGGGAATAATATAAAATTAATTAGATAGCAAAAATATGGAAGCCCAAGGGCAAGTTTGTAAACTACTCTAAATAAGGAGGGAATAAAAGAATAAACAATTACTGATCTACCAACTTTTGGACAAATCTACCATACTTTCTGAAGGAGCTGATTTTCTTCCAGCTGAAACAATCTAAGACTTTTTCCAAGAATATATATATATGTATATGTATATGTATATGTATATGTATATGTATATGTATATGTATATGTATATGTATATGTTTATGTAAGTTTTCACGGGTATGTATGTGTGTATAGTTAATATTTCGGGTTTCTTCCCGTGTAATTGTGGATATATCCCTAAAAGGGTAGAAGCGACGTTTCGGCAGAATCCCATCTGCCATCATCAGGCTTATGTCAGCAGTCATTTTGCACTAACTGACGTTGGTATTTCAGACCTGGTGCTGGTATTCTGGGATGGCTCCACCTTTTCATTCTGATTGGTTGGGAGTCCCAGTATGTGTTTATTGGCTTGGCTTCGGGTGTATGGTCGGTTTTTCTCCACTAGGTGGCAGGGCTTCATCTTTGTGGCTGGTTTGAATATGATTTGGTTGGGATTTTTTTGTGTAATGTTTGGTTTATGTTTTATATATGGTGTTAAGATTCGTCTATCTATGAGAGCAGGTTTCCAAATAGTAGGCAGACGTGAAGTGTCATCCCGTTTATTCATGCAATATGGTCTCCTTTCTATTTCAAAAAACACAAAAAAATCCCAACCAAATCATATTCAAACCAGCCACAAAGATGAAGATGATCACTTATTGAGTAACCATTTGAAGTTATGATGATTCTGAAAAAATAACTCTGAGCCCATTTATGGCCATTTATTAGCCATAAATGGCATTATAAGCATTCCTCAATCATGTGTTTCCATTATAGTTAGCATACATTATCCTGATTTGGGGTACCTCCTTTTCCCCATTCCTTGAAAAGCAGAAAGATAGGAGAGAAGGGGATTACAAGAGAGGACTCTGTTTGCTCTCCTACACATTGAATGTTACACAGGGAGCCTGGGCATGGAAGCCAAGTTCATACTTTTGCAAACAGTTTACAGTTCTGTCTTGAAATTCCTAGTCCAATCCTGCTTTGCAGGAGTGAGGGAAGTGTCTGGCAAAGGAGAGGTTGCCTAGGGAAATTAATTGTTTTTTTCTCCCCCCCACTCCACCCCCAGAGTAGAGAGATTGCAGAAGGATTTCAAGAGAGTGAGCTGTTTGCTTTTCTACACGTGGAAAGCAATGTGATTGCACTGGCAGTGGGAAAGTGTCAGACACAGGAAAGATTAATTGCTTTTTTTCTGTCCCCCCCCCCCCCCCCCCCCCCCCACCAAAAAAATTGGAAAGGAAAAAATTTTAAAAGAGTACTATAAGCCACTTTACAGGTGGCTGTTACCTATAAACTGGGTTGACAAAATCAGAAATGAGGAGGTGATAAGCCGCCTGGGAAAGCCAAAGCAAATAATCAAAACCATTAAAAAGCAAAAGTTAGAATATTTCGGACATGTGATGCGACACCTGGAAAAGTATGGCATACTTCACGTAATTTTCCAGAGAAAGATTGAAGGCAAACGAAGTCCAGACAGAAGAAGAACATGGCTTCAAAATCTAAGGGACTGGTTTGGACAAAACTCAGCAGCACTTTTTAGTGCGGCTGTTGATAAAAATAGGATTGCCAATGTCCAATGACGGATATGGCACAAGAAGAAGAATAATACCCTTGCAATTCCCAATCCAATTACATCATATTGATTGTAATGGTGATCATGTGACTGAGGGATGCTGAAAAGGTGTGAAATTGACTACTATTATCTCTTTCCAGACAGAGAGAACACTTGCAGTATGACTTCCCACTTAGTGATTGCTTTGCTTAGCAGTTCCTATTAGGGTCATTATTCAAGGACTACTACTAAAAATTACTGCATCTTTTTAGGGTCATTTATCGAGGACCACCTCTAAAAAGCTACTGCAATTTATATTTTAGAAGCAGAATCTTTGATGTTAAAACTTGTTGAACTAGCTGTACATTAAATTAGAAGGAAAGAAAAAAATAATTTTCAGCAGTGTTTTGAGAATGTATTTCTTATTTTCATATTATTTCTTTTTCAGGTATTACAACAATTTTATTCTATGTACAGAACACAAGGTTTCAACAGCAAAGTGCTTCTGGCCTAACCCGCTGGCTGAAGGCTTCATCACTGGAATCCATAGACAATTCTTTACAAACTGTACCTCAGATAAAGTGCACTGGGAAGATCCTCCAGATAAAATTCTGGTTTCTTTGATTTTCATTCCAATTCTTCTGACAGTTGCCATGGTTGGTTTAGTGGTATGGTGTAGCAAAAGAAGTGATATTTTGGTATAACTCAGCATTCATCGCCATATTGTTCTTTCTTTTATTGAGAATGGAATAGAAACCTTATATGTACTGTATATCTACATGTACATGTGTGTATGCATATGCGTGTGTGTGTGTGTGTATACACATACAGATAGACACATACATTTAAAGACACATAGATATAAAGACAATTTTGGCAAACAGAACTACATTCTTCTTTAGCTACACATATCTACTATAAACGTTACTTCTCCAGCAGTATAAACATTGTTCTGATAAAAATTATGGCTCATGACCATAACTCTGTAATGAATAGAAACTGAAAACAATATCAGAATGTGCTATATACAATGGAAGTTTGTGGCTTTTAAACTTACGAATGAACCTCAGATGTTCAACTTTTTAAAAAGATGATTCTATATGTGGACTGTAGATTTGAAATGTAAGCACATGTATACTGAACAATCATGTTTATGGTAGGGGCTGTTTTGGAATTAAATGTGAAAATTGATATTTAAGTATGAACTTTAGGACTTAAATAGACTGTCCTTGCCAAAGATATATAACATGCATATATACATGTGCAGCAAAAGAAAGTGAAACACTGTGAATAATGAATGATCAGAGAATTGTCACGATTATGCTGGCTCTTCTATGAATTAGTAAACAAGAAACATGTCCTTGAATGTTTGCATCCTGGACTGGAAATCTACAGAATGGTCTCTTGAAAGGATATAGTTTTCTTTTGCAAAGCTACAAAGAGAATGAGAGGAAATTGGTCAACTAGAAATGTATTCAAGTGTCAAATAAACTGTTATATTTGTCTCATTCTGTGTTTTTAAACTGGTAATTTTAAGATAATTTTCCTTCCTTCTTCCATAGCCTTTTTTTATTTCTAATGTGCTTTAAATGGTCAGATTTCATAGGAAGAAAATATGGCAATCATATTAATACTGATGCATTTCAGATTTTGCATATTGAAATACAATTTATCTGTTAGATGTTTGAAATTCCACAGACTTGCATATATAGAAGAAATGAGTTCAGGTTAGCAAACATCTTTGACTTTTTCAGAAGCTATACCTCCAGTCAAATGAACAGGATAAATAATTTATAGAAAACCTCAGATTTGCTAATCAGAAGTCTTCTGTAACATCAAAATTACATTATATAACAGTGTTAACATCTTCAATTAGAAATATTTTATTTGTTACCTGAATAATTAATACTAGAACAGTTTACCAATAATCTGATATTCATAAAAAATATCCACTATTTTGGGGACCAAGGATTTGAATTGGATGTTATTAATATACCACCTGATTCTTTTTTATTACCGTAGCTGCTTTATTTAAAAAATGAGATGGGGTACAGGTCACCAACTGTTACCCTTGCAATCTATCTTTAGTGAGATTTATATATGCTTTTAAAAATATGTCTTCAGAAATTTCCTATCAATCAGAGGACTTCTTGAATTAAAAAGAAAGAAATTGAGGCAGGAACCGAATCAAACTATTCACCTTATCTAAAAGATCCAAGAAACCTAGAACCACACTGTAATTTATTACTTATAAATGCAGTGTAGAACCAAACAATATGGTTTTATGGATATAAAGCATGTAAATTTACCAGTTGTGATATTATTATATATATTTAATACCTTATTAAAATCACATTATTTTGATTATTTTGTTAAAATGTTGAAAACCTGAACAAATTTATACTTATAAATATTGTATTGTTGTAATGCAACTTTACATTTTAAAAAAATTGAAGTGAATGTATTGTTAAGCTAATCTTTCTTCATAAACATTTCATTTAAATTTTAACTGTAACTAAAGGAAGCAACAGACAAGAACTATGACATTTTAAAAAATATATCAGGTGGATCAATGAATCTAAGACTAACGGTGGCCGTCAAATATGATATATCTGGCAAGAAGACATTGTGATTCTGATCAACAAATGTAGGAGTCCATATCTCCCCCATAGACATTTGCTTATTATGAAACAGAACCAAAATCCGATTCTGTGGAGTTTTTAAATTCTTAATGCAGGTATAAATTGCATCATGCTTTTAATTATTTTGCATTGTTTTGTCCTGTAACTTCTGTAATTAGCAAAAAATTATTCACTGAGTGATAATACTTTAAGAAAGGAAATAGGAAGTTTAAATGCATTATATTTGTTCTTCCCATGCTTATTTCTGATTCTTAAAAGAAGTGAACATTCAGATTTGGGAAATCCAATCAGTTGCATGGGGAAGAAATCCTGTTAATTTACATTTTTTTCTCTTTAGATTTAAAGTCATTCTGAATCTATGCAGAATTAAACATGAAGAAAGCAGTTTTGATATAATTCCATAGTTTCATAAGTTTGTCCTGTGGCAAATCCATCTAATGTGAGATAAGGGATGAAATAATACATGTTAATAATGTTAGGCTAGTAATGATTATATAGTCTTATTTTCTCAGTTCAAATCATACAGAACACAAGGAAGGAATTCTGACACATGATTATAAACTTGTCAAATTAGAATAGCTGAACTGTTACCAATCAGCTGGTAAATCCTCTGAAATGCAGGCTTACTATTATCTCCTTTTCCAACTCAAATGGTTCTTCTGATATATTTAACCTTAGACTGCACTTCATTAATTTAAAACAATGTTGGGAGACAAATTTTATTATATACCTAGAAGTTCCACAACCTACATATCCAGACCCATCTTGTTTGTTGAGTATGTCTTGTGAACTAGAAATTCTGGCTCAGTTTAAGAGATAAATCAGACACTGTGGTTCTTATGAATGACAAACTATGGATGGAGGTCTTCGTAGCCTGTTAGTCATGTTTTCATTCATTTGTTGGAGTAGCCAGATGATATTTGGGCTGCTGTCAGCTTTCAGTAATATTAAAACTATATTAAAATTATGATACAAGAAGATAGTAAAATCTGCTTCCGCACAGATGTTTTCATTTGTTTGATAATTCTTATTGTCCTCAGTGGACATCATGATATTGGCTGCATAATAAATATTTCCACCTAGTTGTGGAAATAATTTTTGTTCTTGAGTTAACAAGCTGTTTAAGAAATGTTGTACTGAATCATCCAAAAGTTATAATAAAACAGAGATTAGACCAAGTGAATTTTAAAGGTCTATAATCACTTTGTATTTTTCTCATATTAAAACATACTTTGACAAATCATATCAAACATGGAATTTACCTCTTCCACAAATATCAGATTAGGGATTCTGATTTGCTCTTCTGAATAAAGCAGAGCTCCAAGTTCACATGATTTTCTCAATGAGCAAGTAGGTGCTTTTGATAATCTAGATTCTGGAATACTTGGCATATATTGTAATAAAATTAAGTGATATGACATAATATACAATAGATCCTTTCAGAAAGAATTACTCAATCCATGTGATGGATATGCCTTTCATTTTTCTGGTTATTCTGTAACAGCATATTTTAAGAGTTAAAATTCTTTAGAGGTCTTGTGTAGAACTTCAACTCTATATAATACTGTATCTCCCAATAGAATCATTATGAAACTCTGTTACAAAAATATATGATGAAGAAATTGTTTTTACCCTATTAGATGCATCCAGAATAAAATCTAGCTTCACTGCAGTCTATAGAACTCAAATAAATTACATCTAACAACTCTTCCTGATTTGAGTGTATTAACTCTCAATATTAATGCCAAAATTACATATAAAAAACAATTTAGAAGTGACCGTCAATCTTTTTTCACATAATTTATTTTGTTTCTCTTTGTCATTATGAGAGGTAAGCATTTGTATAGGCTCTGAACATCCTTCCTTGATCACTGATATTTAATTCATTAATTTGTTTTGAAATATACTTTACCTGGTTAAGCCATCAATAATTCCCACTGTCTGGACTTTGGCTTTAACACTGAAAAGATGATACTGTCCTAAAAGTTGTGATGACTTCATTGGGTTCAGAAGAATGGGACTAGAAGCAAAACATTGCAATAGGAATATACTTGTTCTTTGTTCAAACCAGCAGTATGTTATTACTGAATGATCAGTTCTATTACTCTCACACCATCATTGAGCAACTTGTAACTTGAGCATGCTCAATCCTTATAGCACTCATTTCAAAGTTTTCCTATATATCCTTTGATAGCCTCTTTTTCCTTTGTGGGTCTCTTTTGTGTTTCTGTCAATATTTCTGTCAATGCTATTAATTAATTCTGTATGGAAGTGTTGGTTTCCATAATAAAAGAGAACTTTGGGTGATTTGATTGAAAACTAAAAAGAAATTTTCAGGAATACAACATAGCAGCAGCATTTTAAATGAAGGGTTTTTGAGATGTCCAAAGAAGAGACATTCTGCAGACAAAGGCTCACTGAGTTATCATATATTGAAACATATATGTAATGACTACTGTGGGAGTCACTATAATGATTACATAATCATACATATCAAATCCGGCACCAGTTAACAACGGTATCCCCCAAGGCAGCATTTTAGGACCCACACTCTTTCTGCTTCACATAAATGATCTTTGCAATCATATTATAAAAGAGCTGTGCCCTCTTTGCTGATGACATAAAACTATTTAACACCACCGACAATACTGCTGCCCTACCAAGAGACCTTGACTATGTGTCAGAATGGTCGCGCAATTGACAACTCCAAATCTCAATTAACAAATGCTCTGATTTACACATTGGCAACAAAAATCAGAACACCAAATACAAGCTGGGCAGATATGGCCTCGTAGATGACCCTCACTCTGTCAAGAAGTATTCATCTCAAACGATCTAAGCCCCAGAACTTTCTGTAACAGCATTGCTGTTATTAAGAGTTGTTAACCTACTGGTAATTTTGCGAAGCTTCTCCAGTAACATTATACTGCTAACTAGGGCATATAAAACCTTTGCTAGACCAATTCTTGAATACAGCTTGTCTGCTTGGAATCCACACTGTATATCGGACATTAATACAATTGAGCGGGTCCAGAGCAGTGGTGGGTTGGCCCCGGTTCGGATCAGTTCGCAAGAACTGGTAGTAAAACCTGGGCATCATCATAGGTGATCTGTACATGCGCAGAAGAGCGTGCATGATGCAAACTGGTACTAAAGGTAAATAGAACCCATCCCTGGTCCAGAGGTATTTCACAAGAAGAGTACTCCACTCCTCTGCTCACAATAGAATCCCTTATGCCACCAGGCTCGAAATTTTGGACCTGGACAACCTGGAAGTACACTGCCTACAATTTGACCTAAGTATAGTCCACAAAATTGTCTGCTACAATGTCCTACCCATCAATGACTACTTCAGCTTCAACCTTAATAATACTCCGGCAAACAAGGTAAACTGTTCCAAACTCGATTGCAAAAATACAACTTCAGCAACAGAGTGGTCAACGCTTGGAATGCTCTACCTGACTCCATTGTTACATCTTCAAACCCCCACAGCTCCAACCTTAAACTGTCTACTGTAGACCTCACCCGTCCTAAGAGGTCCGTAAAGGGGGCATGCGTAAGCGCACCAGCGTGCCTATCGTCCCTGTCCTACTGTCCCCATTTATTTGTATTCATTTCCTATGTTCATGTCCATATTTATACTTTTAGCTGTTATCTTGTACATGTTTGACAGATAAATAAATAATAATAAATAATAAAATAATAATTTTTTTATACATGGTCTGGAAAACCATGTTTTCTAGAATCCATATTAAAATGACTTCCACAATATTGGCTTGTCTGGACTACTTTGTAAAACATTCTAATGGTGTCACAGATTACTTTATGAACTAATCATCAATATATATCATAATCCTGATTATCAG